TTTTTAACATTTATTGCGGAGACTAAAAATATTCTATAACTCTAAGATAATGACGGTAGGATCTCTGAATGCGCGTCACTGACACTCATAACTCAGTTATTGGCATACATAGTGGTCGGATAATGGCCAACATAGTGGTCGTATAATGGCCAACATAGTGGTCAGTGGCCAATTAATGGGCCAGTTGCTGGTCAACCCACAGGTTGTTTACTTGCCAACTCAGTGGTTGGATACTGGCCAACCGAGTGGTCGTTTATAGGCCACAACAGTGGTCGATTACTGGATGACCCAGTGGTCAGTCGCTGGTCAACCCATTGGCCGATTGCTGGCCAACTCTGTGGTTGTGTCCTGGCCAACGTCGGGCTTGTGATATAATTGGACACTCATTTAATAAGTAAAGCTATTGGCTTAAATGAAGGATCGCTAGGATGCTATCAAGGCGAGGATGGTGTCAAGGTGAGGATGATATCAAAGCTAGGATGGTATTAAGGCCATGATGATATCAAAGCTAGGATGGTATTAAGGCCAGGATGATATCGTCATTTTAATAATATAAATAGCTATTAAAATAATGACGCATGCTTTGGTAGCATAAAAATCATAAGTCTGCTAACAAGCAACAGCCCGCCACCAGCAACACTATAACATCAAGCGAAACTCCTGTCCATTTAAAAAAAAAAAATTGTTATGGCAGCGGCTCTCTACATGTGGGTCACGATCTCCTCTGACAAAATTAACATGCTTTGCTTGAGAATTTCAGAAATCTGAAAGATGAAAACAAAAATGTAGTGTGTGTGGGGGGGGGGGGGGGAGAGGGGAATGGGTCGGCTTAAAGTTTGCATTTGTTTTAAAATTGAATTTTTATTTTAAAATGTAAATATTATTCACTGTGAATGAATTAGTTTCTGTCAGTACACTCTGAGAACACTACAGCTACGTCAAAATGAAAGAAAAAGAAAGTAGAATTCATTTGGCAGCTCAGTCAATATCAATATTTTGGAAGTTGCTCTTCATTTTGTTCGAGCCTACTTGATAGAGACTTAAAAAAATCATTGATTTATTTCATGGTTTCCTTTTTATTTGCCTCAAATTAAAAGTTGGCATCTAGTTGGTATCTAGTTGGCATCTAGTTGGCATCTTGTTGGCATCGAGTTGGAATCGAGTTGACATCTAGTTGGCATCTAGTTGGCATCTAGTTGGCATCTTGTTGGCATCTATTTGACATCTAGTTGGCATCTAGTTGACATCTAGTTGTCATCTATTTGGCATCTAGTTGACATCTAGTTGGCAGCTAGTTGGCATGTAGTTGCCATCTAGTTGGCATCTAGTTGGCATCTAGTTGGCATCTAGTTGGCATCTAGTTGGAAGCTAGTTGGCATCTAGTTGGCAGCTAGTTGGCATCTAGTTGGCATTTAGTTGGCAGCTATTTGGCATTTAGTTGGCATATTCATGCCAAATGACAATCAGTTTCGTGAGTTGACCAAACATAGAATGTGGATTGAATGGATCCAACATAAAATGTGGATTGAATGGATCCAACATAGAATGTGGATTGAATGGATCCAACATAGAATGTGGATTGAATGGATCCAACATAGAATGTGGATTGAATGGATCCAACATAGAATGTTTATTGAATGGATCCAACATAGAATTTGGATTGAACGGATCCAACATAGAATGTGAATTGAATGGATCCAACATAGAATTTGGATTGAACGGATCCAACATAGAATTTGGATTGAATGGATCCAACATAGAATGTGGATTGAATGAATCCAACATAGAATGTGGATTGAATGAATCCAACATAGAATGTGGATTGAATGAATCCAACATAGAATGTGGATTGAATGAATCCAACATAGATGTGGATTGAATGGATCCATCATAGAATGTGGATTGAATGAATCCATCATAGAATGTGGATTGAATGAATCCAACATAGAATGTGGATTGGCTTACAGAGCCTCCTTTAAAGGCTCATCCTCCCCCTCCCCCCAATCAAATATTACATTCTTCCTCCTCTCTTATAAGCTTTTCTCTCTCCCAATAGAAAATAGGCCACCCACTATTGTTTTCCATCCATCCTGGGCTATCTTTCCTAGTTCAGCCCAATAGAAAATAGGCCACCCATAATAGTTTTCCATCCATCCTGGACTATCTTTCCTAGTTCAGCCCAATGTTTCTTCATTGTCTTTACCTCTGAATCTACTCCCCTCTTCCATGCGTCTCTTTGTTTGCCTATTTCCCTTGCACCTTGCGTATTCCAATTCACGGCCTGGCTTGTGACGTCAGTGTTTGGTTCCCGTAAAGTGTGCCCTATCCATCTCCATTTTATCTTTTGTATTTCCGTTTCCACTGGGACACTTGATGTTCTCTCCCAAAGGACAGGGTTAAAAATTGTGTCAAACCATCCTATTTTGAGGATCCTTGGCAATCTTCTATTTTACCAATACTTTGTTTCCCCCAAACAAATCTCTGCCCCTAACCCCCCCCCCCCCCCCCCCCCCCGTCAACACCTGCTTCTCAATCTCAGTGTATACGTGTGGTTGTAGGTTGTAGGTTGTAGGTTGAGGGTTGTGGGTTGTAGGTTGTGGGTTGTGGCTTGTGCGTTGTAGGTTGTGGGTTGTAGGTTGTAGGTTGTGGGTTGTGGGTTGTCGGTTGTAGGTTTTAGGTTGTGGGTTGTTGGTTGTAGGTTGTGGGTTATGGGTTATGGGTTGTAGGTTGTTTGTTGTGGGTTGTAGGTTGTAGGTTGTGGATTGTAGGTTGTAGGTTGTGGGTTGTAGGTTGTTTGTTGTAGGTTGTAGGTTGTTTGTTGTAGGTTGTAGGTTGTTTGTTGTAGAATGTGGGTTGTATGCACTTTCCACATCGCCCCTGTAGCTCTATACATGCACTTTCTACATCGCATTGGTTCTATACATGCACATTTCACATCTCCCCATTTGTTCTATACATACACTTTTCGTTCACCAATATTATCATAGATTATAAAAGATCATTGCAACCAATATTACCATAGATCATGGCAAACAATATTGTCATCGATCATTGCAACCATTATGCGAGTCTGAAAAAAAATAATTTTAAAAAGTGGATCATGTTTCATTATTAATTCATAGCATATGAAAAGAAATAAAAAAAATAATTTATTTTCGTTATTATTTCTTCTTCTGTTTAGGTCCCAGAAGCCAATACATTTGAGATCCTCTTTCATGGAAGTAGATAACTATTCTATTCTAACGTGAGACATCTGATCTATTTCATTGAAGTAGAGAGTCACTCTATTCTAACTTGAAATATCTATCTTCCTGTTCAATAAGGGATACTCAATAGCGTTGTCAAGGATGTATCTAAGGATGGGGTAACTCGGGTAACGTGGAGTGAAACATCTGATGTGGAGTGACCGTTTCCTGGTTCTACGGCACGACTTCCCTCCCGAAAAGTCAAGGTCAGATCCTAGATCACAATGGCGGACACAAGGCCAGATCAAACGTCCAATGTCACTTCATTTTAAAACAGGACCGACAACTTCGGGAGCAAGAGACCAACAAAATTAAGTTTGAGTGGATGTCCTGGAGGAAATTCTATTGATTTGAAAGTCACAAGTCACATGACTTCCTCTTATAGCGCTGTGTTAAAGAAAATAACCTTTTAATCAGTAGGTGGCCTAAAGAAACTACCTTTCAATCAGTAGGTGGCCTATGGAAACTACCTTTCAATCAGTAGGTGGCCTATAGAAACTACCTTTCAAGCAGTAGGTGGCCTATAGAAACTACCTTTCAATCAGTAGGTGGCCTATGGAAACTACCTTTCAATCAGTAGGTGGCCTATAGAAACTACCTTTCAATCAGTAGGTGGCCTATAGAAACTACCTTTCAATCAGTAGGTGGCCTATGGAAACTACCTTTCAATCAGTAGGTGGCCTATAGAAACTACCTTTCAATCAGTAGGTGGCCTAAAGAAACTACCTTTCAATCAGTAGGTGGCCTATGGAAACTACCTTTCAATCAGTAGGTGGCCTAAAGAAACTACCTTTTAAGCAGTAGGTGGCCTAAAGAAACTACCTTTCAATTACTCGATGGACTAAAGCTCTTATCCGCTTTAAAATAACTTGGAAAATAATAAGTTGAATTGTGTAAAAAGATTTTTAATTCTCACATCAGCATAATGTATACAATGCGGTTCAGTGAAAGAATGGAACTGTGGCCAACAGAAGGAGCCATTACAACGCTTTCATGAATTGTAGCACCAGCCCTCTGTGATCTTAATCGCTCCACCTTGTAAGTTTATTATCTAACAATCTCACTTCTGGACAGGACTAACCGGGTCACACCCCCGCCAAGGGGAGGGCACCGCATCTGACTGTCTTTATCAGCATCACGCCTTAAAAAAGGAAACATTGCAAGGGGAGAGAACTCACTCCCCGTCTGGCACCATAATGCTATCGACTGTCGGCGCAGACGATTGTGACCCAGGAAGTTGACCATCACGTGAGAGACAGTTGATACACTCTCTAGCCATTGACATTTGGCCGTAAAGCTCAACATCAGCTTGCAAGTTTTCGTTGACCTAGTCATTGCAAAATAATTCAATATTCAGTCAGTGCTCTGAATAAATATTTTCAAACTGAAGTGTCGGAATTCATTCGGGATTAGTCTGCATGTAAGTTTTTACACTCCAGGAACGACATGGATATCTAAGCGATCCACAGTGCAAGTGATAATTTGACGTAAAGTGAAGTTAATAAAACCTACCATCTGGAGAAACGAATGGTTCCTCGGTACCAGGATGTATCAGACAAGGTGGCAATATTAAGTTTACATTCTTTCATAATCCAGGCTGGTAATGGAGACTTGGTAAATAAAACATCACAGCAGGGTCGTGTTCTGTTTCCCTTTATTTGAAAGAGTCGCGCTGGTGTAATCGCAGTCATTGTAAAATCTTGTAAAAACCTGTAAAAACCTGTAAAAACCCGTAAAAACCTGTAAAAACCTGTATTCCCATTTGCCTGACTACAACGTACTTTTTGGCTATTTCTTTGAGCGACATGGCTATTTTTAGTCGGGCATATAACAACAAGGTACTTTAGGAATATTTTAGTTAACTTCATTATTTGTCAATTTTCTTACAGAACATCCCCTATCAAATGACACCTTTCTTACTCGACATGAATTGTAAGAGTCGTTGAAGGTCAAGGACCATGGGAAGTCAAACATATCCCTGTGTTTCCGTGCTGATGCCGTCGGACGGTGACGTGGTGGTTCCGTCCAGGCAGACGTTCCTGATCGTCTGGTTGAAGGCGTTGCCGCTCGTGCTGCTCGCCTTCTCCACGGTGACCTTCAACACGATGGTCCTCTGGATGTTCAAGGTCAAGAAATCGCTCCGCAGCTGCAAAAACATCTACCTGGGCAGTCTGGCCATGGCTGACCTCATCATCGGCGTCTCCATGTTCCCCGCGGCCGTGCAGCAGCTGAAAGGCCAGGTGGAGTGGCTGCCGTTCGTCTGGTGTCGCGTGTACCTGGTCGTGAGGCAATCGGCGCTCTACGTCTCACTGCTCAGCCTGCTGTTGATCACCGCTGACCGGTGGTGGTCGATCCACTATCCGTTTTCGTACCGCACCAGGCGGAGAAAGAAGAACGCATTCCTTGCCGTGGGTGGCGTGTGGTTGATTGGGTTCAGCCTGCAGACGATCCCCGTGGCCGTCTGGGACTTCCTCATCCCCAAGGAGACGCCAAGTTTGAACTCTTCATCTCCAGACTTAGATCTTGTCTTGAAGACATTTCCCGCGTGCGAGCTGCCTTTCTCGCACAACATTTCGTTCGTCGCCATTGTGTCCGGCATTCAGTATTTTGTCCCTCTGGTGGCCATGCTCACATTGAACTGCAGCCTGTACCTTGGAATCCTGGGAAGGAAAAAAATACAGATTCGACGATCTCTGAACTCATCGGATAAGTTATATTCCTCCGATAAGCGGAATTCGATTTCCTCCATCCAGGAAATCAGCTCGTCGGCGGAGGAATACGCGGAACTACTTGGCGGAGTCGGCCATAGACCTAGCTACATCCGATTCAACAACAACAGGCGCAACTCGGCTGGTCCGGTGCTGCTCAGGTCGTCCAACTCGGTGCCGGTGTTCAACAACCAGCTGGTCCCCAACAACTCGGCCAGGAGGTTCAGCTGGGCGCCCAGGAAGAGCTCGCTGCGGCCCAGCAAAGACGGCGACGAGCTGGCCAAGAGCCTGCTGGTCAAACAAGACCGCCGCGCCGCGTGCTGGCTGGGGCTGCTGGTCATCGTCTTTCTCGTCTGCTGGTTGCCGCACATGATCGTGGGGGTGCTGATCACCACGCGCCACAACGGCGTGCCCCTGTGGGCAAGGGATGTGACGTTCTGGTTCCTGCTGGCCAACTCGGCCATCAACCCGTTGCTGTACGGCTTCTTCAATAAGGAGATACGAGAGGCGTTCAAACAGTGGATGTACGGCGGTTCCATGAGGCGGGCGCGAGGGAAGAACGCGCTCTTTATTTATGGGATTGGTATGACCTCTGGTCTGCAGGTCAACTCTCGGCGGATCTCATCCTTTGACACGGTGCCCGAGTAAAAACTTATACCTTTAAAAATAAAGATGAAAACTTTCCCCGTTGAACACTATCTAACTACCACATTTGTGCCATGACATAGTAGATGATGGGGAGTTTTGAAATGTTTCTATTTGATATCGCAGCCAAATATCTAGTCGTTCTAGAGGTGCTCTTGTGTTGTAGCTGTCCATTATATTAATTTCATAGGACCAATAAGGGAACGTACGCACATGATGGTGATGGAGTCAAACAAATGAACACAAAGCGGGTCTTCACCATGACTTCATCGATTGATCTTCACCATGACTTCATCGATTGATCTTCACCATGAATTCATCGATTGATCTTCACCATGACTTCATCGATTGATCTTCACCATGACCTCATCGATTGACCATTTTTTGTCTTTCTGTTCAAATTTGTGTTTTTTTTATAATTATGTTAGATTCTTGTTTTATGCTATATGTTAACTGACATCTTTATTATGGAAAGAAAATTATCCACACCAGTTTGCACGTCTAGAATTGAAACAACAGATCACTTATTTGTAGGGTAACTCTTTTTACATTGAAACGAACAAAATTCAAACACTTTTGAAAGGCATTCTAAAGATGTGATTTGTGAACACTGTGCCTTGACCTCGCCTGGAAGGCTCATACCAAATGGGGCGGCTAATCATTTATGGGAAAAGAAAATCATTTGTCCAAGTGTGTTTTCCAATCCAAGAATAACTGACTTGTAAACCTACTACAAACACGGACACAACTCTTCACTTACAACAGACACAACTCTTCTGTTAAAACAGACACAACTCTTCTCTTAAAACAGACACAACTCTTCTCTTAAAACAGACACAACTCTTCTCTTAAAACAGACACAACTCTTCTCTTAAAACAGACACAACTCTTCTCTTCCATTATTATAAAGTATATTATCGTAAGTCACTACTACACTATCCCAAAAAAAGCTATTTTATTTATTCAAAGAAACTCATAGGGACACACTCACACTCAAACGATCGCACGCGCACACACACACACACACGCACACAAACAAACACACCTCAGCAGGTTTGCGACCGAGGTCAGGTGAGGTTGTTTTATGAAATAGTTCTTCAATAAATTCTGCTTTCCCCAGCCGTGTAGTATGTTTCATTTTTAATCTAGGACTTCAGAGCGCCGTGAGCAGGATGAAATAACATGACCACACGCGCTCTAAAACAACTCACGCATCATCATCAGCAGCATATCTATTAAGACAGTCTCTAAGCCAAAATAATCATCTCGATTAGGATTATCAGTCAAATGAGAAGTGTTTACTTGCTGACCAGCTCCAGATTAAGAAAGTATCAGTAATCCTTTAATCCTAGTCCCAACATGGGATGTTCACATTGTGTCAAATGTCAGCACAACATTTTGGCGTATCCACACTATTGACATCGTACCACGGCACAGACCAGTTGCTTTTTGTGTGGGTAGAGAGTCATGCTATCTTGATGTCACGCGGGATATAGAGCCGATAAGTCCCTGAGGGTCACGTTACGTGATCCCAGGTGTTGACATCTCCAATCAACAGGTATCAACGACTGACCAAACATTGCTAGGGTCTAGCAGCTGGACAGCGCCGTATGCTCCAACTCTGAGGTTGGTCAGCTGGTCAAGTTTTGTTCATTAATGGACATATATCCTAGTAAGACATAGTTCTGAAATGAGTTATGTTTAGTGTAACGAATGTCCAGCTTTGTTTATTCTAAAAGTAAATGTTATGTTTCATGTGAGCTTTTTAATGAAACACATTTTGAGGAGCTTTGGCAGAGAGGAATTGAGGGTTGATGGATAGGAATTGGTGGTTGGATGGATAGGAATTGGTGGTTGGATGGATAGGAATTGGTGGTTGGATGGATAGGAATTGGTGGTTGGATGGATAGGAATAGGTGCTTGGATGGATAGGAATTGGTGGTTGGATGGATAGGAATTGGTGGTTGGATGGATAGGAATTGGTGGTTGGATGGATAGGAATTGGTGGTTGGATGGATAGGAATTGGTGGTTGGATGGATAGGAAATGATGGTTTAATGGATAGGAATTGGTGGTTGGATGGATAGGAAATGATGGTTTAATGGATAGGAATTGGTGGTTGGATGGATAGGAAATGATGGTTTAACGGATAGGAATTGGTGGTTGGATGGATAGGAAATGGTGGTTTAATGGATAGGAATTGGTGTTTGGATGGATAGGAAATGATGGTTTAATGGATAGGAATTGGTGGTTGGATGGATAGGAAATGATGGTTTAACGGATAGGAATTGGTGGTTGGATGGATAGGAAATGATGGTTTAATGGATAGGAATTGGTGGTTGGATGGATAGGAATTGGTGGTTGGATGGATAGGAAATGATGGTTTAACGGATAGGAATTGGTGGTTGGATGGATAGGAATTGGTGGTTGGATGGATAGGAATTGGTGGTTGGATGGATAGGAATTGGTGGTTGGATGGATAGGAATAGGTGCTTGGATGGATAGGAATTGGTGGTTGGATGGATAGGAATTGGTGGTTGGATGGATAGGAATTGGTGGTTGGATGGATAGGAATTGGTGGTTGGATGGATAGGAATTGGTGGTTGGATGGATAGGAATTGGTGGTTTGATGGATAGGATATGGTGGTTTGATGGATAGGAATTGTTGGTTGGATGGATAGGAATTGGTGGTTGGATGGATAGGATATGGTGGTTTGATGGATAGGAATTGTTGGTTGGATGGATAGGAATTGGTGGTTGGATGGATAGGAATAGGTGGTTGGATGGATAGGAATTGGTGGTTGGATGGATAGGAATTGGTGGTTGGATGGATAGGAATTGGTGGTTGGATGGATAGAGATTAGTGGTTTGATGGATAGGAATTGTTGGTTTGATGGATAGGAATTGGTGGTTTGATGGATAGGAATTGGTGGTTTGATGGATAGGAATTGGTGGTTTGATGGATAGGAATTGGTGATTTGATGAATAGGAAATGGTGGTTTGATGGATAGGAATTGTTGGTTTGATGGATAGGAATTGTTTGTTTGATGGATAGGAATTGTTGGTTGGATGGATAGGAATTGTTGGTTTGATGGATAGGATTTGTTGGTTTGATGGATAGGAATTGTTGGTTTGATGGATAGGAATTGTTGGTTTGATGGATAGGAATTGGTGGTTGGATGGATAGGAATTGTTGGTTTGATGGATAGGAATTGGTGGTTTCATGGATAGGTATTGGTGGTTGGATGGACATGAATTGGTGGTTGGATGGATAGGAATTGGTGGTTTGATGGATAGGAATTGGTGGTTTGATGGATAGGAATTGGTGATTTGATGAATAGGAATTGTTGGTTGGATGGATAGGAATTGGTGGTTGGATGGATAGGAATAGGTGGTTGGATGGATAGGAATTGGTGGTTGGATGGATAGGAATTGGTGGTTGGATGGATAGGAATTGGTGGTTGGATGGATAGGAATTAGTGGTTTGATGGATAGGAATTGTTGGTTGGATGGATAGGAATTGTTGGTTTGATGGATAGGAATTGTTGGTTTGATGGATAGGAATTGGTGGTTGGATGGATAGGAATTGTTGGTTTGATGGATAGGAATTGTTGGTTTGATGGATAGGAATTGGTGGTTGGATGGATAGGAATTGGTGGTTTGATGGATAGGAATTGGTGGTTTGATGGATATGAATTGTTGGTTTGATGGATAGGAATTGTTGGTTTGATGGATAGGAATTGGTGGTTGGATGGATAGGAATTGGTGGTTTGATGGATAGGAATTGGTGGTTTGATGGATAGGAATTGGTGGTTTGATGGATAGGAATTGTTGGTTTGATGGATAGGAATTGTTGGTTTGATGGATAGGAATTGGTGGTTGGATGGATAGGAATTGGTGGTTTGATGGATAGGAATTGGTGGTTTGATGGATAGGAATTGGTGATTTGATGAATAGTAATTGGTGGTTGGATGGATAGGAATTAGTGGTTTGATGGATAGGATATGGTGGTTTGATGGATAGGAATTGTTGGTTGGATGGATAGGAATTGGTGGTTGGATGGATAGGAATAGGTGGTTGGATGGATAGGAATTGGTGGTTGGATGGATAGGAATTGGTGGTTGGATGGATAGGAATTGGTGGTTGGATGGATAGGAATTAGTGGTTTGATGGATAGGAATTGTTGGTTTGATGGATAGGAATTGGTGGTTTGATGGATAGGAATTGGTGGTTGGATGGATAGGATTTGGTGGTTTGATGGATAGGAATTGGTGATTTGATGAATAGGAATTGGTGGTTTGATGGATAGGAATTGTTGGTTTGATGGATAGGAATTGTTGGTTTGATGGATAGGAATTGTTGGTTTGATGGATAGGAATTGTTGGTTTGATGGATAGGAATTGGTGGTTGGATGGACATGAATTGGTGGTTGGATGGATAGGAATTGGTGGTTTGATGGATAGGAATTGGTGGTTTGATGGATAGGAATTGGTGATTTGATGAATAGGAATTGGTGGTTGGATGGAAAGGAATTGTTGGTTTGATGGATAGGAATTGTTGGTTTGATGGATAGGAATTGTTGGTTTGATGGATATGAATTTGTGGTTTGATGGATAGGAATTGTTGTTTTGATGGATAGGAATTGGTGGTTTGATGGATAGGAATTGTTGGTTTTATGGATAGGAATTGGTGGTTTGATGGATAGGAATTGGTGGTTGGATGGAAATAAATTGGTGGTTGGATGGATAGGAATAGGTGCTTGGATGGATAGGAATTGGTGGTTAAATTGATAGGAATTGGTGGTTGGATGGAAAGGAATTGGTGGTTTGATGGATAGGAATTGGTGGTTTGATGGTAATTGGTGGTTGGATGGATAGGAATAGGTGCTTGGATGGATAGGAATTGGTGGTTAAATTGATAGGAATTGGTGGTTGGATG